TAAAAGGCCATGACATGTGACCTCCATGGTATTCGGCAGTGACGTGTAAACATGGGCACCATAAACATCGCTTTGGCTCTTGCATGATTATGACTCTTAATTTAGATGTGCAGAAAACAAGGTAAGAGGACGTCCTCATTGTACTGTATCACTTTAACACATTACACATAGTTTATTATGTGCTTCTGTTCTTTTGTTTAAAAGCAAGTCTCGATGATTCACTGTCATTTTATCCTAATGCCTCTGGGTTGAGAATTCTCTTGAACAGATGAGTGCATAGTGCAGGTCACAGCAATTTTATTTCAACTAAAGGTCAAATAATGACTTCCTCTGTGAGTCCCACCCGACGACTTCTATGAACTACAAGAGTCTCTCTATACATTAAGACATGATAGCAGATTTAAATTGTGCCCGGTTCCTGACCTGCCCAGCTTTTAACCATCCTCAGGTGGTCAGAAATACCATGCGAGTCCACATTAAGGCCATATTCAACCAAGGGAGATGCAATGGGGGAGAGTAAAAGGTTCATACAGCGAGAAAAGCAGGAAGAGGTAAAGGTTGCTTAGTTCTTGCTGAAGCTGCAATCCCCTCTTCAGGTGGTCAAGACAGATTAAAAGAAGCTAAAGAGACAAAGAGAAAAGAGCAGGCAGTTAGAGGGAGGAAGCCGAAGCAGAAACGCTTACAAATAAAAGATTCAGAAGTGCGATTCATATCAAGGAGAGGAAAACTTTCGGTTTTGAATTAAATCTTAGTGATCATAGTCATTCAAACAATACACTATAGACATAAAACACCCGATTATATTGTGTCCACGCCATGATTTTTTTTTTTAAACAGTGAAATAAAAGGTAGAGCCCGTGTTACGATCCCACGACTTGTCTGTGGTCATTCAGGTGTACAAAAATGTAAATAAACGAATAGGTGCATGTTCTCCATCACAACTGAAGTGGAAAAGGTATTAGTCACAACAACACAAAACGTAAACATGTAAGCGTAAGCAGAGGCAACATATGGTGGATTAGATTGCTCAAAGTGAGTTTAAAGCAGCATTGAAGCACATACACGTTAACACGTATTATAGCAGAGCAGGTAATGTATAAGAAAACCCTGCAGGGATGGGGAGGGGGGGGTCCACAGAGCCTCTGGTCACATTTGAGGTACTCAGTGCCCACAAAGGCTGGTCCCTTAGCAAAGCTTGAGGGCTGAAGACCTACTCAGTGCAGAGCCAGGGATTACTGCAAAGGAAAGTGAAACCACACAGACCAATGAGCTGAGGATTGCGAGGAAGGAAAGGATCTTCTGTTCAAGTACTTTGACCCTGGTATCATGTGGAATTATGTGAGTTAAGGCAGGAGTACTTTCAACCCAAGACAATTCTCTCTTTCAAGAGGCGATAAAAGTAACCCTGAACCTTGAAGTGGTGGAACAATAAAGTATAAACTAAGTCAGCAGGCGCCTATTTGATCTGAGGGCCATGAAATAAACACACCTAAAAATCTTCTTTCAATAAAAATTGTTAGTCAAAGCTAGGACAGCAGCTGGCTAATGAACTCGCACAAGTACAACCTACTGGCACCAACATTTGTTCACTGTAAGCCTCTGATAAATGAAATATAACTATTTCATCCATTTATTAAATAAACCTTGATTTAATTTCCTAAAAATAAAGTAATGTTTGTCATAGACAATGATTATGTTCACAGGTATAATATATGGTGAAAAATTGGCCTTTATTTTATTAAAAATGTCTTTAATATATGCGTAACACTGATACAAATAACACTGGTCCCTGCAGGACGATGGACATTAAGATGATTGACTTTGAAAATGTGCCTTCATATTGAGAACAATGAGAAAAAAAGAAAGTTACAATTGCACTTACAACATTAATATATAGTATGTAAAAAACCATCACATTCGGGTATAAAACATTAAAAGTGCAAATGTGAAAGCTAATACAACGATGCACAAAACACATGACGATGAATGAGGTACGGGAGAAGTGGCAAAGAGAGGAGGCTCACATCTGTTCATGCATGAGGCTGAAGAGAAACAACATCAGCAAGGGGACATTGAGAAAGTAAATCTTCATTTTATTTTTTATTGTTTAAATGTCTTTATAATTCTTAAAGAAAATGCAAAACAATGTAATGTGGTTACATTCTGCAATTAATTTACAGTGCCGGGAAGCACCTTTCTTATCATTC